CTGCTTTCTCTTGTGGGCATTTAGTGCTATAAATTTCCCTCTACACACTGCTTTAAGTGTGTCCCAGAGATTCTAGTATGTTGTATCTTTGTTCTCATTGGTTTCAAAGAACATCTTTATCTCTGCCTTCATTTCGTTATGTACCCAGTAGTCATTCAGGAGGAGGTTGTTCAGTTTCCATGTAGTTGAGCGGTTTTGATTGAGTTTCTTAGTCCTGAGTTCTAGTTTGATTGCACTGTGGTCTCAGTTTGTTATAATTTCTGTTCTTGTACATTTGCTGAGGAGTGCTTTACTTCCAACTATGTGGTCAACTTTGGGTAAGTGTGATGTGCTGAGAAGAATGTGTACTCTGTTGATTTGGGGTGGAGAGTTCTGTAGAGGTCTATTAGGTCTGCTTGGTACAGAGTTGAGTTCAATTCCTGGATATCCTTGTTAACTTTGTCTTGTTGATCTGTCTAATGTTGACAGTGGGGTGTTAAAGTCTCCCATTATTATTGTATGGGAGTCTAAGTCTCTTTGTAAGTCTCTAAGGACTTACTTTATGAATCTGGGTGCTCCTGTGTTGGGTGCATATATATTTAGGATAGTTAGCTCTTCCTGTTGAATTGATCCGTTTACCATTATGTAATGGCCGCCTTTGTCTCTTTTGATCTTTGATGGTTTAAAGTCTGTTTTATCAGACTAGGATTGCAACCCCTGCTTTTTTTTGTTTTCCATTTGCTTGGTAGATCTTCCTCCATCCCTTTATTTGAGCCTATGTGTGTCTCTACATGTGAGATGGGTCTCCTGAATACAGCAAACTGATGGGTCTTGACTCTTTATCCAATTTGCCAGTCTTTGTCTTTTAATTGAAGCATTTAGTCCATTTACATTTAAGGTTAATATTGTTATGTGTGAACTTGATCCTATCATTATGATATTAGCTGGTTATTTTGCTCGCTAGTTGATGCAGTTTCTTCCTAGCATCAATGGACTTTACATTTTGACATGTTTTTGCAATGGCTGGTACTTGTTGTTCCTTTCCATGTTTAGTGCTTCCTTCAGGGTCTCTTGTAAGGCAGGCCTGGTGGTGACAAAATCTCTAAGCATTTGCTTGTCCGTAAAGGATTTTATTTCTCCTTCGCTTATGAAACTTAGTTTGGCTGGATATGAAATTCTGGGTTGATAATTCTTTAAGAATGTTGAATATTGGCCCCCACTCTCTTCTGGCTTGGAGAGTTTCTGCCGAGAGATCTGCTGTTAGTCTGATGGGCTTCCCTTTGTGTGTAACCCGACCTTTCTCTCTGGCTGCCCTTAACATTTTTTCCTTCATTTCAACTTTGGTGAATCTGACAATTATGTGTCTTGGAGTTGCTCTTCTCGAGGAGTATCTTTGTGGCATTCTCTGTATTTCCTGAATTTGAATGTTGGCCTGCCTTACTAGGTTGGAGAAGTTCTCCTGGATGATATCCTGCAGAGTGTTTTCCAACTTGGTTCCATTTTCCCCCTCACTTTAATGCACACCAATCAGACGTAGATTTGGTCTTTTTACATAATCCTATACTTCTTGGAGGCTTTGTTCATTTCTTTTTACTTTTTTTACTCTTTTCTCCACACTTGTCTTCTCGCTTCATTTCATTCATTTGATCTTCAGTCACTGATAATCTTTCTTCCAGTTGATCGAGTTGGTTACTGAAGCTTGTGCATTTGTCACGTAGTTCTCATGTTATGGTTTTCATCTCTGTCAGTTCTTTTAAGGTCTTCTCTGCATTGATTATCCATTCATCCATTCTTTTTTCAAGGTTTTTAGTTTCTTTGTGCTGGTTACATAGTTCCTCCTTTAGCTCTGAGAAGTTTGATGGACTGAAGCCTTCTTCTCTCAACTTGTCAAAGTCATTCTCCATCCAGCTTTGTTCCATTGCTGGCGATGAGCTGCGTTCCTTTGGAGGGGGAGATGCGCTCTGATTTTTTTGAATTTCCAGCTTTTCTGCACTGCTTTCTCCCCATCTTTGTGGTTTTATCTGCCTTTGATCTTTGATGATGGTGACGTACTGATGGGGTTTTGGTGTGGGTGTCCTTTCTGTTTGTTAGTTTTCCTTCTAACAGTCAGGACTCTCAGCTGTAGGTCGGTTGGAGTTTGCTCGAGGTCCACTCCAGACCCTGTTTGCCTTGGTATCAGCAGCAGAGGCTGCAGAAGATAGAATATTGCTGAGCAGCGAGTGTTGCTGTCTGATTCTTGCTCTGGAAGCTTCATCTCAGGGGTGTACCCCGCCATGTGAGGTGTCGGTCTGCACCTAGTGGGGGGATGTCTCCCAGTTAGGCTACTCACAGGTCAGGGACTCACTTGATCAGCAGGCAGTCTGTCCATTCTCAGATCTCAGCCTTCATGCTGGGAGATCTACTGCTGTCTTCAAAGCTATCAGACAGGGGCATTTACATCTGCAGAGGTTTTTGTTGCTTTTTGTTTAGCTATGCCCTGTCCCAGAGGAGGAGTCTACAGAGGCAGGCTGACCTCCTTGAGCTGCGGTGGGCTCCACCCAGCTTCCTGGTGGCTTTGTTTACCCACTTAAGCCTCAGCAATGCTGGCACCCCTCCCCCAGCCTCGCTGCTGCCGCCTTGCAGTTAGATCTCATACTGCTGTGCTAGCAATGAGGGAGGCTCTGTGGGCAGGGGACCCTCCGGGCCAGGTGTGGTATATAATCTCCTGGTGTGCTGTTTGCTAAGACCCTTGGTAAAGCACAGTATTAGGGTGGGAGTTACCCAATTTTCCAGGTGTTGTGTCTCAGTTTCCCTTGGCTAGGAAAAGGGATTCCCTTCCCCCTTGTGCTTCCCAGGTGAGGCGATGCCTTGCCCTGCTTCACCTCTGGCTGGTCAGGCTGCACCAGCTGACCAGCACTGATTGTCCGGCACTCCCCAGTGAGAGGAACCCGGTACCTCAGTTGAAAATGCAGAAATCACCCGTCTTCTGTGTCACTCACAGCTGGAGGCTGGAGCTCTTCCTATTCGGCCATCTTGGGCCTATTTTTTTTTTTTTAAGACAGAGTCTTGCTCTGTTGCCCAGGCTGGAGTGCAGTGGTGCAATCTCGGCTCACTGCAAGCTCCGCCTCCCAGGTTTACACCATTGCCCTGCCTCAGCCTCCCGAGTAGCTGGGACTACAGGTGCCTGCCACCAGGCCCATCTAATTTTTTGTATATTTTAGTAGAGACACGGTTTCACCGTGTTAGCCAGGATGGTCTCTATCTCCTGACCTCATGATCCGCCCGCCTCAGCCTCCCAGAGTGCTGGGATTACAGGTGTGAGCCACCGTGCCCGGCCAGATGTGAGAACAATTTCTATGAACAGTATCATTTGCTGTATGTCCATTTACAAAGGCAGTGCAATGCTCTCCTTTGTAATATTGCTATAACAGTAATAGAAATCAATATAGGTTTGATAGAAAAGACTTCAAACGGAACCCTTACACACTGTTGGTAGGAATGTAAATTAGTACAGTCATTATAGAGAACATTGTGGAAGTTCCTCAAAAAGTTAAAAATAGAACTACCATATGATCAAGCAATCCCACACCTGGGTATATATCCAAAGGAAATGAAATCAGTGAGATATCTGCATTCTCATATTCATTACAGCCAAGATATGGAATCAACCTAAGGGTCACAGAGCAATGAAGAAAATGCAGTATATATTCACAATACTAATTCAGCCTTTAAAAAGGCTGAAATCCTGTCATTTGCAATATAGATGAACATTATGTTATGTGAAATAAGTCAAGCACAGAAAGACCAATACCACATGATCTCACTTATATGTGAAATCTTAAAAAGTTGAATTCACAGAAGTAGAGAATAGAATGGTGATTACCAGGGTATGGGGTAATGGGAGACTGGGGAAATGTTGGTCAAAGAATACAAAATTTCAGTTAGGAGAAATGAGTTCAAGAGATCTGTTACATAGCGTGGTGACTATAGTTAATAACAGTGTATTATTATATTCTTGAAAAATGCTTAAAAAAGATTTCAAATGTTCTCCCCACAAAAAAGATAATTATAGGAGGTTATTTATATATATATATACATACACACACACTCAATTTAGCCATCCCACAATGTATAAATATTTCAGAACATCGTGTACATGATAAATATGTATTTTGGTCAATTAAAATTTTTTCTGAAAACTAAAGAAACGGGACTTTGGGACTAGACACACTACATGTTTTTCTTCCTCCCAAAGTTAATATTTGTGTGGCTTTAAACAGTCATTTAACTGAAAAGAAAGAAATTCTTTGTAAAATGGAGACAATAAATGGTGGTTATAAGGATGAGTAACAATGCATGTAAGGTACCTGATATGTGGGAGCTATTAAAAACAAACAGTGATGTGTTGATAGTATATTAATTCAGGTAAGACAATATGAACTGTAATAGTATTATGCTTCATATGAATGTCAGCAACATACAAAGAAACCTAATAAACGAGTTCTTATACTTTTGGTCAAAGTACGTGTTAGTAGCTTTTAATGAAATATATGAATATGTGTTATTGAATTCTATTATTAGTCTTCTGTATCTTTCAGTGGAAAATCTCTAATGATAAAAATAACTGCTCAAAAATAAAATTATGTAATGTGTATGAATACATATAATAACCATAATAAAAAGATGTTATTTAAATACTATTTTACTTGAATTTTAAAGACAGCATATGTTATGGCTTTTTTATATTATCCTAATTAACATTGATCTCTATGGCATCTTAATCCAAATTAAAATTATATATTATAAAATTCAGTATGTGGAAAGGTTTACCAATGTGCCAATTAAGATGGGTTGGTTGATTTCCACTTGGATTCTAATAGCCTGACATTTCTAAAGCAGCTAAGATAAACAGTGAATATAGTTAAGATTGTTTAATTAAATGTTTTGATCTTGCTAAACCTAAACGTCATCATTTAAAATAAGGAACAGAAAAATATCTTATTTTTTCTTTAATTGCAGATGTCTTCTCTCTCCTCTTTTAGGATTTTGCCTACCATTTTACAGTATTTGTCTTCTATTTTGGAGCCTTTTTATTGGAAGCAGCAGCCACATCCCTGCATGATTTGCACTGCAATACAACCATGACCCTGCAGCCGCTCCTGAGTGATAACCAGTATAACATAAACGTAGCAGCCACAGTAAGTATTCAATGAGTACCATTCACCAGCATTTCCGCTCTACTGTCAAGGCCTCCAAGAAACTCCTCAGGCAACATTCGTTTTCTTTAATGCTAGCCATTAGCATTAAATATATAATAGCTATTTATCTGTACAATAACCCTGTAAGCAAAGTGCCATGATCACCCCCAGTGTTGTGGGTGATTAAACTGTAGCACAAAGAGGTTGATGTTCATGTAAGATCATAGCGAACCAGTAGAACTGCTTGACTTTGTACAGCAATGTCTACTTTGCAAAAAGAATTGTGTTTTTTGCTTCTGATAACTTTCAGAGATGGTAAAGGAGATCTCCCAGTTTTGTTCTTTAGTATTCGATAGCTGCTTGCAATTTATTTTTATGCAATGAATAGTTACTGTGGGCCTACCATTTATCAAGTAATTTTGCTGGGTGTTGAGGACAGGGTGAATAAGTTACAGTTCCTGCCATTAAGGAAAGTGCAGGTGAGTAAGGCAAATAGCCAGTCATTGTAGTAGATGATAGGCAGATGAAATACATTCCTTGGGGTATTTATTAAATTTTTTAAATCATCTAATTCATATACTGGAGTTAATTTGTCATTTTATATAGATAATTTGAAGAAATAATATATTTTTTGTTGTTAGAGATCATTTTTAAGATGTCAGAAGTCCAAATTATTTTCTGAAATATTGTGATATTTAATATAAGTATATGGCAAATTAGTGACCCTAATGTTTTATTATGTTCCCCAGGTAGCCTATAAATAACCTAGTACTCATATAGTCATTGAAATCTGTCTGGAGCAGCACTGTCTAGTAGAACTTTCTACAGTGACAGGAATATTTCATGTAAGTGCTGTCCAAAATGGTGACCACTAGCCTCATGTGGCTGTTGAGCAATTGAAAATTAACTAGGCTGAGGAGCCATAGCTCATGCCTATAATCCCAGCACATCGGTAGGCTGAGGTGGGAGGACTGCTTGAGGCCAGGAGTTTGAGACCAGCCTGGTCAACATAGCAAAACCCTGTCTCTGAAAAAGGAAAAACAAAAAACAAACCAGAATAAAGAATTGGCCAGGCCTGGTGGCTTGTGCCTGTAGTGCTACCTACCCAGGAGCTCAGAGCCCAGGAGGTGGAGGTTGCAGTGAGCAGAGACCACACCACTGTACTTCAGTCTGAGTGACAGACCGAGACTCTGTCTGGTGGGGGGAGAGAAAGAGTGAGAAAGATAACTAGTATGACTAAGGAACTGAATTTTTAGTGTTATTTAATTTTAATAAATTTAATCACGTGTGCCTAGTGGCTATCATGTTAGACAATACATATCTAGAGTTTGAGTTTTGAGGGGTGGTTTCAAGACCTATTATAAGTTTCCCAAGTCTCTGGTAGGATTTGTCAAAATTTATTGAATGCCTGCAAAGAATTAGGCTGAAGGTGGGATTACAACAAAAAGGAGTCATGGTTTTAGCTTTGAAAGGTTTATAGTGTAGATTAGTGACTTTAACACTTGCTTATAAAAGAAATAAAAGTTTCATTTAATGAATTCTTACCTAAAACCCCAATAAATCTAGAATAAAAGTTTAGGTGCTGTAGTTGAAGTGGAGGAAGAGGGCCTTGAATGATCTTCATTCTCTTTTCATAAAGCTGCCTCTACCCACCGTATCATCCCTGAGGATCATAGGATCCTTGTGATCCAGAAATCACATTGGAAAACCCTTGGTTTTAACAGTTTTACAAAGCAAAGTTCAGAAACTTGACTTTTTTCCTTGCTATTAGTCATCAATTCCCATTGTATTTGCGTTTATATGTTTCTTACTTCTAGTCCCTTCTTTTTAATGGTGCAGGCTAGATTCTCATATCTTGGATCATTAAAGTATCCCCACATCTATTGATAGTCACCCTAGAACCTTTCACAAGAATAGTAGCTGCTGAAATACTTAATGGTTGTCTGAGGTCCTTAATTTCTCACCTTTGTCCTAAGGACCTAGTTTTCTGTGTTCTCCATCATGTAATTCTTTTCTGGCTGCTTCTCTTTTGTGACTTTGTCCCTGTTGTCCTTCCCTTTCTAAGTGAAGCTGTCTCAGTAAACCTCTACATGCTTCGATTTCAGCATTACATCCCATTTTATCCATGTGCTCACTCCAAAGTAAATCTCTAGTTTGAGTTTTATTCTAACTAAAATGTATCAGCCATCCATTTGGGACATTAGATAGGAAAATTCCTTTTCCATAATAATAGATATAAAGCGCTATTGCTCTCACTCAGAAAACAATGTCTAGATTAGAAATGTATCAGAGAAACAATTAGCAGAAGGGTGGAAAGAAGAGCAGAATAGTAATTAAACTGTGAAAATGGTCTATAGGTGAATCTAGTATTCCTTCCCAGAGCTAGTTTCCTAGTTAAGAATCCCTGTGCTAAACTGCTTTTTCTTTGTCTTTTAGTCTTCTACGGGTCATAAGCCCCAAAAGGGTGAGGATGCTATCTACTGTTTGTATGTACGAAGTGCAGTGATATACACATAGTTGGTGCTAAAGAGATTCTCAGGACAGTAATTCACAGTAGAGTGTAGATTTGTGCATAGGACTGTCTCCCATACAAGAGCAAGGCAACCTGACAATTCATTTCCACTTGTCTTAGTTGAGTTTTAAAGTTACCTTCCATCATCACAGAAATTATTTGATGAATCCTCAGGTTCTGATAGTTGCTGGCTTCCTTGGCTGTGAAGCCACTACATGAATAGAACTTCATGCTGAATTTTTAAATACAGTGCCTGGGGATTCACAAACAAACAATAAGTGAGCCCAGAATGTGAACAAATTGAACAAATGTTCAATGTAAAGTCGTCCACAAATGAGAAAATTATTAGGGGCTAAAATGTTTAAAGGAAGTGGGGGGTAATTGTATGAGGGAATAAACAAGTTGTACAAATCATCAAATAAATCAATGTAAAATATTTTTGTAAGTGTTGAAGTGTTTTTAGGTAGATTGGTCAATCTTCATATGTTTGTTCTTGAGGACACTGCTTTTAAGTCGGTGTTGTAAATCTGATGTGAATTTTTGTTTCTTTTTTCTTAGATTTTTGCCTTTATGACGACAGCTTGTTATGGTTGCAGTTTGGGTCTGGCTTTACGAAGATGGCGACCGTAACACTCCTTAGAAACTGGCAGTCGTGTGTTTGTCTACTTTATATGTCTGATCAATTTGGATACCATTTTGTCCAGATGCAAAAACATTCCAAAAGTAATTTGTTTAGTAGAGAAAGAGACTATCAAAGCTCAAATTTTGGTTTATTTCATGGATGGAATGTTAATTTTATTATGATATTAAAGAAATGGCCTTTTATTTTACATATCTCCCCTCCTTCCCTTCCTGAAAGTTTCCTTTTATGTCCATAAAATACAAATATATTATTCATAAAAAATTAGTATCCCTTTTGTTTGGTTGCTGAGTCACCTGAATCTTAATTTTAATTGGTAACTACAACTCCCTAAAAAAACACATTTCAAATAGGCTTCGCACTGAACTCTATAATTTAGTGTAAACCAGGAATTGGCACACTTTTTAAAAAATGGGCCAGAAGGTAAATATTTATGCTTCATGGGCCATACAGTCTGTCACAACTATAGCATGAAAGCAGCTGTACACAATACAGAAATGAATGAGTGTGGTTATGTTCTAATAAAACTTTATTTATAAAAACAAGGGGAGGCTGGGTTTAACCTGTGGGCCATAGTTTGTCGACCACTGGTGAAAACCTTAGTTATATATGTTCTGCATTTTCTTGAACTGATCATGAAAACCTATAAACCTAATAGACAAGCCACATAATATTTAGCCTCATTATGCAATAATCACATTGCCTTTGTGTTAATAGTCACATACTTACCTTTGGAGGAATGTATGGTTTCTCAGACTATCTCAGGCAGAGTCCTGGATGTAGGCAAAAGTAATTTATGAAGTAAACTTTAGTCGCTTAATCAAACTAATGATAGTCTAACAACTGAGCAAGATCCTCATCTGAGAGTGCTTAAAATGGGATCCCCAGAGACCATTAACCACTACTGGAACTGGTATCTAGCTACTTATGTCTTACTTTGAGTTTATGCTTCAGTATACAGTTGTTTTGCCCTGTGCATGAACATACCCATATTTGTGTGTGGATATGTGAAGCTTTTCCAAATAGAGCTCTCAGAAGAATTAAGTTTTTACTTCTAATTATTTTGCATTACTTTGAGTTAAATTTGAATAGACTATAAAGTTTTAGATTCTTGTTTTTGCATTAGCCCAGACATCTATATTGTTTTTGCACTGGTGACAGACAAAATCAGTTTTAAAATCATAGCCAGCACAAAAACTATTTCTGGCTAAATAGCACAGAAAAGTATTTTAACCTACCTGTAGAGATCCTGGTCATGGAAAGGTGCCAAAATGTTTTGAATGGAAGAACAAGTTAGAGTGAGGCCACAGTTCCCACCACACTAGGGCTTTTGTATTGCTCTACTCTTTCAGCCCTTTACTTTCTGGCTGAAGCATCCCCTTGGAGTGCCATGTATAAGTTGGGCTATTAGAGTTCATGGAACATAGAACAACCGTGAATGAGTGGCATGATCAGTGCTTAATGATCAAGTATTACCTATCTAATAATCATCTAGAAAGAACCCTGTTAGATCTTGGTTTGTGATAAAAATATCAAGACAGAAGACATGAGGAAATCAGGCATATGACTTTGTACTTACATCAGATATTTTCTGTAATATCCTACTTCCTTGGTTTTCCCAGCTCCATACCACACACCTAAACCTGTGTTATGAATTACATATTACAAAGTCATAAATGTGCCATATGGATATATAGTCTATTCTAGTTGGAATCATTTAGTCTGCTAGAATTTAGTTGTGAGATTTTTTTTGTTTCCCAGTATAGCAGTCTTCTGTTTGGTGGCATTAAATTGATTTCTTTAAAATGCTTTGGTGGCATTTTTGTAAATGGATTGCTTCTAGATTGTTACAAACCAAGCCTAAGACACATCTGTGAATACTTAGATTTGTAGATTAATTGCATTCTAGATTTGTGAGTTTGAGTGACAAAGGAGTTGAACAAAAATTATGGCGTTTAAGAATTTAACATATCTTAGCTGTAAAAATGAGAAAGTGTTGGTTGGTTTTAAAATCTGGTAACTCCTTGATGAAAAGAAATTTATTTTATACGTGTTATGTCTCTAATAAAGTATTCATTTGATAATCTTTGTGGTCATCTATTATACCATTCACTTTGACATTCAGTTAAAGGTTTGATATAAACTTGACAGAGCTTCTAGACTTATAATGTATAAAAAGTTGTTTTAAACATTTCTGTGTAAAAGTCTCTCAGGAATTGTCTTTTTTCTTTGATGAAGGTGAAAGAGGTAAGTCTTTGGAAGTAACGTTGCATAGGAAGTTTAAATGAGAATTCTGTTTTGCTGAGTGTGATGACTTATGTCTATATTCCCAAAACTTTGGGAAGCCAAGGCCGGAGGATCCCTTGAAACTAGGAATTCAGGACCAACCTGGGCAATATACTGAGACTTCATCTCTACAAAAAAATTTAAAAATTAGCTGGGTGCATGGTGGCACATGCCTCTCGTCCCAGCTACTTGGGAAACTGAGGTGGGAGGATGGCTTTAGCCCAGGAGATTGAGGCTCCAGCCTGGGTAACAGAGTGAGACCCTGTCTCACCAATAAATAAATAAATAAAATAAACTATCCATGCTAAAAAGAGAGAATTCTGTTTTACTTAAAAAGCATTTATACCACGTTTTATATGTTTCAAGCATTTCGTCAAATATTACTTCATTTACTCCTCATCATAACAACCCTATGGGGTGTATACTCATCCCATTTTAAAGGCTTGGAGACTAAAACACAGGTTTTACATCCATATCCAAAAATGTGATCTTTTCTTCACCCAAAGAAGTTTTAGCAGAATGTTCAGCAACATAACTATTTATGGTAAATGTCATATCTTATATCATTTTTGTCATAACAAAGGACTCATGATTTTAGCTGTAAGAATTTAAGCCAAACTTGCATGAGGGAGAAGAGGTTAGGCCACTTGCATCTAGAACGGTCCCTGAGTGCTTGACTACCTGAGTGTTTTTCCACTTTGTCAATTCTGGCATGAACTATGGGGGCTTCGGTCTGCTGTATTACCTTACATTGACTCAGCCTTTTCCCAAATTATCCAGGCTTCCAGGGAAGCCTGGAACTGACTTCAGAAGGATTTTCCAGTCTGAGAGATGCCATTTGATCTTGAGCATGGACTATGAATTTCCACCTCTGAATACTCCAGAATCTGGAATTCTGGATCATTATCATGAAGGTTCTATCATTAACAACATGCCTCAAGTTTAATTGGTGAATCAGTGTCTTAGGTGGCAGCTTATTCATCAGGCAGGGGTCCAGAGTTTGGGGATAGCAATGATGCTTAACCCATTTATGCCTAGTGTTCTATTATTGGAACACTAAGCTTGTGGAAGTTACTTATATCCTACTGCTCAAGGTCATTGCCAAGGTCTGATTTTTCACAAAAAACATGTGCAACCTCCGGCATAAATTAGTTATGTTTAGTGTTTTGAATGTCCAACTTTGTGATAAAAAAGGATGTTAGTTACACCTTTATTGGGCTGTGCCCCTAGCAAAAGGACAATCCTAGTTCCTCTCTCTGGAGCACTCTTTTCCCAAGTTACTACTGAGCTGGCTTTCTCACCCTCTTTGGGTCTTTGCTTAGTCATCACCTTTACAGTGAGGTCCTACCTCAGAACCACATTTAATCTTGAATCTCACAAGAGCACTCCCTGTTCTCCTTTTCTACATTTATATTTTGTATAGTGTATATGCATATAGCATTAATTTATATTTGTCTTTTCTACATTTTTGGATAGTGTAGATACACTATACAAAATATCTTCCTTCAGTGTCCAAGCCAATGAGCTGAGGCCATTCGTTCTGGGCAGTCCACAGGCAATGACTGCACATGGTGTTGGTATAAGGGCTCATCGTTTCTAGCTAGTGTGAGACTCCTCTATGGGCAATCTTTGTGCTGGAGCTCACTGCTAAATTGGTTGAGACTTTCTCAGAATGAGCACAGTCTGAGGCTCTTCCTACCTAAGGCTTTTAGGCTCTTACTTCTCCTTTCATAAGAGTCAAACCTGCATCAGGGGCAGAAAGATATATTTTGTATAGTGTATATGCATATAGCATTAATTTATATTTGTCCTCTTCACTAGAATGTAAGGTTTGCGTTTTGTTAATTTTAGACAGCAGGTTTTAACAGTTGTCTCCATTTTTAAGCATACATACTTTATACATGTGGAATATCTGAACTGGTGTCCACCTATTTTAAGTATTTGGTTGGTTCAAAAGTAATTGTGGTTTTTGCTATTGAATGTAATGGCAAAAGCTGCAATTCCTTTTGCACCAACCTATTAGTAAAAGTTTAATTTTGTGCTCATAAAATAGAGTTAAAATATTTCCTTTGTCACTCTGTAATTATCTTGCATATTTAAGTGCACATATTCCACTTTAGAGACCATAGGAATAGAATATTGGATTGGAGGGCATAAAACTGGACTATCTCCTTTGCTGTTTTGATGGAAGTGTCTATGTTAAACGCTAAGATGAAGTGTCTAACAGAGGCTGGCAGCCATAAGCATTGAAATTGGTTTCTCAGTAAGATGATAGGTCTTCCATGTCTTCAGAATGACTACGTTGACTAAATCTCAAAGATTAACTCTTGGCCAAATATGCTTTCATAGAACAAATAAATTCTCAACAAAAAAAATATGATATTATGTACTTTTCCAATGTGGGATAACTAAGTTAGCCAGACTTCGTCTTGGTTTTTATTTTAAATTTAATAGTTACACTTTCAATGTGAATTAGGGAATTATAACTTGCACATCAATTGCATGATTTCATGGATATTATTCAGTATGAGAATAAATATTGTGAAAAAATAGTCCATTTAACATTTGTGGGACCTGAGGTGAGCCACTTAATTTATTCAAGCCTAAGTTATCTACCAGCGATGATGATGCAAGTCTGGGAGAGAAGGTCCTTTGGAAAGAAGAAGCCAAGATGCAGTTCAAAGTACAAGATGTTTGTTGGAGAAAATGCCTATAAAAGATAAAGAGGAGAGAGAGCACAAGTAGGAAAAATAATCTTTCTGCCCCTAATGCAGGTTTGACTCTTATGAAAGGAGAAGTAAGAGCCTAAAAGCCTTAGGTAGGAAGAGCCTCAGACTGTGCTCATTCTGAGAAAGTCTCAACCAATTTAGCAGTGAGCTCCAGCACAAAGACTGCCCATAGAG